GGTCCCGCAGTGCGGAAAAAGGAGGTGCAAAAAGCTGTCGCGGAGGCTAGATAGCTGAGCAAAGACGGGGCCTCACCTGGAATCGAACCCGGGACCTCTCGCACCCGAAGCGAGAATCATACCACTAGACCACGAGGCCACTCCAAACAGACAAACGCGCTTACAATTTCACAAACGCCCTACACACAAACCAACCAGCGATACACACGCATCACCACATTCACAGACAACACCGCTCTCTTTACTATCGCCTCTTACCTTCCAGTGCCTACCACCATCAGCACTCACACCACCAGCGATGACCAACCATGACCAACTACTACCGTTTTCTTCGCTGCGGTCACGACGTTGTGGCTCGGGCTAAGGCGTAGCCACGGATTCGCGAGACAGTGGCGTGCCGTGTAAACTTCTCAAGCTTTTGTCAAAATCAGACTTGGACCACTTCAGACCCGTCCTGGCTTACTTAATATGGTATATCCTCGACTTAAACAATCCTTTTGTGTACCACGCCGCGGTCAATCCGTATCAAGACACAAGGAAGGCCGCTGCGACCCCAGCCGAAAGCCAGGAAAGGTTCCTTAACGCGGAAAAGGGAGGTGCAAAAAGCTGTCGCGGAGGCTAGATAGCTGAGCAAAGACGGGGCCTCACCGGGAATCGAACCCGGGACCTCTCGCACCCGAAGCGAGAATCATACCACTAGACCACGAGGCCACTCCAAACAGACAAACGCGCTTACAATTTCACAAACGCCCTACACACAAACCAACCAGCGATACACACGCATCACCACATTCACAGACAACACCGCTCTCTTTACTATCGCCTCTTACCTTCCAGTGCCTACCACCATCAGCACTCACACCACCAGCGATGACCAACCATGACCAACTACTACCGTTTCCTTCGCTGCGGTCACGACGTTGTGGTTCGGGCTAAAGCGTAGCCACCGGTCCGCGAGTAAGTGGCGTGCCGTTTAAACTTCTCAAGCTCTTGTCAAGGTCAGACTTGGACCACTACAGACCCGTTCTGGCTTACTTCTCCGGTCCGGAAAAGAATTACCAGTAGGGTTATCTAAAATAACCTCGTGGGATTTTTATTGGATGAAAATATTGTTGGTCACGGTGGTTGACACGTGCTAAACTGGAGCAGTACAGCTCTTAAAAGAAGCCAGAAAGAAGCAAGACAAGTTTTAATGGGGCGAACACCGGGAACCATCGATATTCCTGAAGCAACCCGCCAGGCGATCGCACTATTTCTGGCTGAGCGCTCTAGTAACGGCCGACTAAAGCGTGGTGCGGTCTCTGCTGCAACAGCCAGGCTAAAATGCTGTCGCCAGCAAGCGCTGAAGATTTTCAAGCAGAAGCTGCTTGGCCTTTCAACGCCGCGGAGGGGACGCCCGCCCGCACAAGCCATGACGGTTCTCGTTGCTGAGCGTGTTGCCCGTGTGTCGGCGACACCGCTGCGGCGACGGCAGACACTACGAGCTCTGTCACATGCTGCTAATATTCCGAAGACCACGCTCCTCCGTTATATCAGCAAGAACAATGTGAAGCGAGTTACTGTGCGCGTAAGGCCAACGCTTTCAGAAGTGCACAAGCAGACGCGCTTGATGTTCGCCTTGGCGCACGTCGAGTGACCTATTGGTAAGGATGTTTTATTAGCACATCACATTTTGAAAACGTATTAATTGATTTATTATTTTTTTTGTAGGTGGAAGATTGCATCGAGTTCATCACATGTATGACGGTTCATATAGATGAAAAGTGGTTTAATATGTATAAGGCTTCAAGCACATTCTACTTAACCGCAAACGAAGCAGCCCCTACACGTCGTCGCCCAACAAAAGGTACATCGGCAAGGTCATGTTCTTAGCAGCAGTAGCCCGGCCCCGCTACGACAGGCAGCGCAAGAGCGAATTCAGCGGCAAAATCGGGATGTGGCTAATAGTTGAGCAGACAGTAGCTCTGCGCTCGTCCGTCAATCGACCGAAGGGTGCAATCGTCACGAAGTGCGTTAATATGACTCAAAAAGTGTATATCAAGATGCTTAAGGAGTGTGTGTTTCCAGCAATTCGTGCTAAATGGCCAGGTATCATACGTATTCTATTATTTTACTAATGATTTGTATTTAATACTCACAATTCGTTATATTAGGTGGAAAACGGCGAGTGATTTATGTGCAACAAGACAACGCTGGCCCCCACGTAGTCGAAAATGACCCTGAAATAGTGGCGGCGGGCATTAAGGACGGATGGACACTCAAGATGAAGTGTCAGCCGCCACGCTCGCCCGATATGAACGTTTTCGACCTGGGTTTCTTCAATTCGATTCAATCGCTACAGTACCTAGAAGAAACATATACCATAGACGAGCTTATTACGGCGGTGGCCCGAGCTTTCAAGAAAACAACACCCAAGACGCTTGATCACTGCTCCCTTACCCTTCGAAACGTGCTGGAGACAGTGATCAAGCACCGTGGGCTCAATGACTACAAATTGTCGCATTACCGGAGGCGGAGAGGACTACTAGCTCATGCTTCACCAACATCACTGACATGTGATACTTCGATAGTTGAAAGTGGTATTCACCGTCTCTTGTGTGGTGTGATTCAGTTTTTTTAATTTATAATGTAGCCATCTTTAATTCTTAACCTTAATTTGAAGCACCCTTGGATTGGCTAAAAACGTCATCGAACACTGATTTGATATATATCAATATAACCAGCAAAAAAACTCGTTTTAGTACTTGAGTATTTCTTCGGTTTGGAGCCGTATTTGAATCAGCTGAGAGCATGCACAGGACTCCAGATTTATGTAGTTTACGGCACTGTCTTTACATTCCCATATTTCGACAAAACAAACCCAAAGCGAAAAAAACCTTGACAGGCTCCAGACTACTCAACATTCCTAGGTTGGTATTTAGTCAGTGGAAGCTGTTATTAGCTTAAAAAATTACCGCAGCAAAGGCAACATCATAAGCTATCAAGTGGTGGTGTCGGTTTGGTTGTATCACCTCTAGTTTTAAGATATTGGCCGAAACGAGTTATGTTAATTCTTTATTGGACCAGATAAGTACTAAATATGGTCTGTCCTCGACTTAAACAATCCTTTTGTGTACCATGCCGCGGTCAGTCCGTATCAGGACACAAAGAGCGCCGCTGTGACTCCAGCCGAAAGCCAGGAAAGGTTCCTCAGTGCGGAAAAGGGAGGTGCAAAAAGCTGTCGCGGAGGCTAGATAGCTGAGCAAAGACGGGGCCTCACCTGGAATCGAGCCCGGGACCTCTCGCACCCGAAGCGAGAATCATACCACTAGACCACGAGGCCACTCCAAACAGACAACCGCGCTTACAATTTCACAAACGCCCTACACACAAACCAACCAGCGATACACACGCATCACCACATTCACAGACAACACCGCTCTCTTTACTATCGCTTCTTACCTTCCAGTGTCTACCACCATCAGCACTCACACCACCAGCGATGACCAACCATGACCAACTACTACCGTTTTCTTCGCTGCGGTCACGACGTTGTGGCTCGGGCTAAGGCGTAGCCACGGATTCGCGAGACAGTGGCGTGCCGTGTAAACTTCTCAAGCTTTTGTCAAGGTCAGACTTGGACCACTTCAGACCCGTCCTGGCTTACTAAATATGGTATATCCTCGACTTAAACAATCCTTTTGTGTACCACGCCGCGGTCAATCCGTATCAAGACACAAGGAAGGCCGCTGCGACCCCAGCCGAAAGCCAGGAAAGGTTCCTTAACGCGGAAAAGGGAGGTGCAAAAAGCTGTCGCGGAGGCTAGATAGCTGAGCAAAGACGGGGCCTCACCGGGAATCGAACCCGGGACCTCTCGCACCCGAAGCGAGAATCATACCACTAGACCACGAGGCCACTCCAAACAGACAAACGCGCTTACAATTTCACAAACGCCCTACTCACAAACCAACCAGCGATACACACGCATCACCACATTCACAGACAACACCGCTCTCTTTACTATCGCCTCTTACCTTCCAGTGCCTACCACCATCAGCACTCACACCACCAGCGATGACCAACCATGACCAACTACTACCGTTTTCTTCGCTGCGGTCACGACGTTGTGGCTCGGGCTAAGGCGTAGCCACGGATTCGCGAGACAGTGGCGTGCCGTGTAAACTTCTCAAGCTTTTGTCAAGGTCAGACTTGGACCACTTCAGACCCGTCCTGGCTTACTAAATATGGTATATCCTCGACTTAAACAATCCTTTTGTGTACCACGCCGCGGTCAATCCGTATCCAAGACACAAGGGAGGCCGCTGCGACCCCCAGCCGAAAGCCAGGAAAGGGTTCCTTAACCCCGAAAACCAGGAAAGGTTCCCTTAACGCGGAAAAGGGAAGGTGCAAAAAGCTGTCGCGGAGGCTAGATAGCTGAGCAAAGACGGGGCCTCACCCGGAAATCGAACCCGGGACCTCTCGCACCCGAAGCGAGAATCATACCACTAGACCACGAGGCCACTCCAAACAGACAAACGCGCTTACAATTTCACAAACGCCCCTACACACAAACCAACCAGCGATACACACGCATCACCACATTCACAGACAACACCGCTCTCTTTACTATCGCCTCTTACCTTCCAGTGCCAACCACCATCAGCACTCACACCACCAGCGATGACCAACCATGACCAACTACTACCGTTTCCTTCGCTGCGGTCACGACGTTGTGGTTTGGGCTAAAGCGTAGCCACGGATTCGCGAGACAGTGGCGTGCCGTGTAAACTTCTCAAGCTCTTGTCAAGGTCAGACTTGGACCACTTCAGACCCGTCCTGGCTTACTAAATATGGTATATCCTCGACTTAAACAATCCTTTTGTGTACCACGCCGCGGTCAATCCGTATCAAGACACAAGGAAGGCCGCTGCGACCCCAGCCGAAAGCCAGGAAAGGTTCCTTAACGCGGAAAAGGGAGGTGCAAAAAGCTGTCGCGGAGGCTAGATAGCTGAGCAAAGACGGGGCCTCACCGGGAATCGAACCCGGGACCTCTCGCACCCGAAGCGACTATACTACCAGGACACTCTAAACAGACAAACGCGCTTACAATTCACAAACGCCCTACACACAAACCAACCAGCGATACACACGCATCACCACATTCACAGACAATACCGCTCTCTTTACTATCGCTTCTTACCTTCCTGTTCCTACCAAGATCATACCTCACACCACCCGCGATGACCAACCATGAACCACTACTACCGTCTTCTTCGCTGCTTCTTCGACGCTGTGGTTCGGGCTAAGGCGTAGCCACGGGTCCGCGAGACAGTGGCGTGACGTGTAAACTTCTCATGCTCTTGTCAAGGTCAGACTTGGACCACTACTGACCCGTTCTGGCTTACTAAATATGGTATATCCTCGACTTATAACAATCCTTTTGTGTACCACGCCGCGGTCAATCCGTATCAAGACACAAGGAAGGCCGCTGCGACCCCAGCCGAAAGCCAGGAAAGGTTCCTCAGTGCGGAAAAGGGAGGTGCAAAAAGCTGTCGCGGAGGCTAGATAGCTGAGCAAAGACGGGGCCTCACCGGGAATCGAACCCGGGACCTCTCGCACCCGAAGCGAGAATCATACCACTAGACCACGAGGCCACTCCAAACAGACAAACGCGCTTACAATTTCACAAACGCCCTACACACAAACCAACCAGCGATACACACGCATCACCACATTCACAGACAACACCGCTCTCTTTACTATCGCCTCTTACCTTCCAGTGCCTACCACCATCAGCACTCACACCACCAGCGATGACCAACCATGACCAACTACTACCGTTTTCTTCGCTGCGATCACGACGTTGTGGCTCGGGCTAAGGCGTAGCCACGGATTCGCGAGACAGTGGCGTGCCGTGTAAACTTCTCAAGCTTTTGTCAAGGTCAGACTTGGACCACTTCAGACCCGTCCTGGCTTACTAAATATGGTATATCCTCGACTTAAACAATCCTTTTGTGTACCACGCCGCGGTCAATCCGTATCAAGACACAAGGAAGGCCGCTGCGACCCCAGCCGAAAGCCAGGAAAGGTTCCTTAACGCGGAAAAGGGAGGTGCAAAAAGCTGTCGCGGAGGCTAGATAGCTGAGCAAAGACGGGGCCTCACCGGGAATCGAACCCGGGACCTCTCGCACCCGAAGCGAGAATCATACCACTAGACCACGAGGCCACTCCAAACAGACAAACGCGCTTACTATTTCACAAACGCCCTACACACAAACCAACCAGCGATACACACGCATCACCACATTCACAGACAACACCGCTCTCTTTACTATCGCCTCTTACCTTCCAGTGCCTACCACCATCAGCACTCACACCACCAGCGATGACCAACCATGACCAACTACTACCGTTTTCTTCGCTGCGGTCACGACGTTGTGGCTCGGTCTAAGGCGTAGCCACGGATTCGCGAGACAGTGGCGTGCCGTGTAAACTTCTCAAGCTTTTGTCAAGGTCAGACTTGGACCACTTCAGACCCGTCCTGGCTTACTAAATATGGTATATCCTCGACTTAAACAATCCTTTTGTGTACCATGCCGCGGTCAATCCGTATTAGGACACAAAGAACGCCGCTGTGACCCCAGCCGAAAGCCAGGAAAGGTTCCTCAGTGCGGAAAAGGGAGGTGCAAAAAGCTGTCGCGGAGGCTAGATAGCTGAGCAAAGACGGGGCCTCACCTGGAATCGAGCCCGGGACCTCTCGCACCCGAAGCGAGAATCATACCACTAGACCACGAGGCCACTCCAAACAGACAACCGCGCTTACAATTTCACAAACGCCCTACACACAAACCAACCAGCGATACACACGCATCACCACATTCACAGACAACACCGCTCTCTTTACTATCGCCTCTTACCTTCCAGTGCCTACCACCATCAGCACTCACACCACCAGCGATGACCAACCATGACCAACTACTACCGTCTTCTTCGCTGCGGTCACGACGTTGTGGTTCGGGCTAAAGCGTAGCCACGGGTCCGCGAGACAGTGGCGTGCCGTGTAAACTTCTCAAGCTCTTGTCAAGGTCAGACTTGGACCACTACAGACCCGTTCTGGCTTACTTCTCCGGTCCGGAAAAGAATTACCAGTAGGGTTATCTAAAATAACCTCGTGGGATTTTTATTGGATGAAAATATTGTTGGTCACGGTGGTTGACACGTGCTAAACTGGAGCAGTACAGCTCTTAAAAAGAAGCCAGAAAGAAGCAAGACTAGTTTTAATGGGGCGAACACCGGGAACCATCGATATTACTGAAGCAACCCGCCAGGCGATCGCACTATTTCTGGCTGAGCGCTCTAGTAACGGCCGACTAAAGCGTGGTGCGGTCTCTGCTGCAACAGCCAGGCTAAAATGCTGTCGCCAGCAAGCGCTGAAGATTTTCAAGCAGAAGCTGCTTGGCCTTTCAACGCCGCGGAGAGGACGCCCGCCCGCACAAGCCATGACGGCCCTCGTTGCTGAGCGTGTTGCCCGTGTGTCGGCGACACCGCTGCGGCGACGGCAGACACTACGAGCTCTGTCACATGCTGCTAATATTCCGAAGACCACGCTCCTCCGTTATATCAGCAAAAACAATGTGAAGCGAGTTACTGTGCGCGTAAGGCCAACGCTTTCAGAAGTGCACAAGCAGACGCGCTTGATGTTCGCCTTGGCGCACGTCGAGTGACCTATTGGTAAGGATGTTTTATTAGCACATCACATTTTGAAAACGTATTAATTGATTTATTATTTTTTTTGTAGGTGGAAGATTGCATCGAGTTTATCACATGTATGACGGTTTATATAGATGAAAAGTGGTTTAATATGTATAAGGCTTCAAGCACATTCTACTTAACCGCAAACGAAGCAGCCCCTACACGTCGTCGCCCAACAAAAGGTACATCGGCAAGGTCATGTTCTTAGCAGCAGTAGCCCGGCCCCGCTACGACAGGCAGCGCAAGAGCGAATTCAGCGGCAAAATCGGGATGTGGCTAATAGTTGAGCAGACAGTAGCTCTGCGCTCGTCCGTCAATCGACCGAAGGGTGCAATCGTCACGAAGTGCGTTAATATGACTCAAAAAGTGTATATCAAGATGCTTAAGGAGTGTGTGTTTCCAGCAATTCGTGCTAAATGGCCAGGTATCATACGTATTCTATTATTTTACTAATGATTTGTATTTAATACTCACAATTCGTTATATTAGGTGGAAAACGGCGAGTGATTTATGTGCAACAAGACAACGCTGGCCCCCACGTAGTCGAAAATGACCCTGAAATAGTGGCGGCGGGCATTAAGGACGGATGGACACTCAAGATGAAGTGTCAGCCGCCACGCTCGCCCGATATCAACGTTTTCGACCTGGGTTTCTTCAATTCGATTCAATCGCTACAGTACCTAGAAGAAACATATACCATAGACGAGCTTATTACGGCGGTGGCCCGAGCTTTCAAGAAAACAACACCCAAGACGCTTGATCACTGCTCCCTTACCCTTCGAAACGTGCTGGAGACAGTGATCAAGCACCGTAGGCTCAATGACTACAAATTGTCGCATTACCGGAGGCGGAGAGGACTACTAGCTCATGCTTCACCAACATCACTGACATGTGATACTTCGATAGTTGAAAGTGGTATTCACCGTCTCTTGTGTGGTGTGATTCAGTTTTTTTAATTTATAATGTAGCCATCTTTAATTCTTAACCTTAATTTGAAGCACCCTTGGATTGGCTAAAAACGTCATCGAACACTGATTTGATATATATCAATATAACCAGCAAAAAAACTCGTTTTAGTACTTGAGTATTTCTTCGGTTTGGAGCCGTATTTGAATCAGCTGAGAGCATGCACAGGACTCCTGATTTATGTAGTTTACGGCACTGTCTTTACATTCCCATATTTCGACAAAACAAACCCAAAGCGAAAAAAACCTTGACAGGCTCCAGACTACTCAACATTCCTAGGTTGGTATTTAGTCAGTGGAAGCTGTTATTAGCTTAAAAAATTACCGCAGCAAAGGCAACATCATAAGCTATCAAGTGGTGGTGTCGGTTTGGTTGTATCACCTCTAGTTTTAAGATATTGGCCGAAACGAGTTGTGTTAATTCTTTATTGGACCAGATAAGTACTAAATATGGTCTATCCTCGACTTAAACAATCCTTTTGTGTACCATGCCGCGGTCAGTCCGTATCAGGACACAAAGAGCGCCGCTGTGACCCCAGCCGAAAGCCAGGAAAGGTTCCTCAGTGCGGAAAAGGGAGGTGCAAAAAGCTGTCGCGGAGGCTAGATAGCTGAGCAAAGACGGGGCCTCACCGGGAATCGAACCCGGGACCTCTCGCACCCGAAGCGAGAATCATACCACTAGACCACGAGGCCACTCCAAACAGACAAACGCGCTTACAATTTCACAAACGCCCAACACACAAACCAACCAGCGATACACACGCATCACCACATTCACAGACAACACCGCTCTCTTTACTATCGCCTCTTACCTTCCAGTGCCTACCACCATCAGCACTCACACCACCAGCGATGACCAACCATGACCAACTACTACCGTTTTCTTCGCTGCGGTCACGACGTTGTGGCTCGGGCTAAGGCGTAGCCACGGATTCGCGAGACAGTGGCGTGCCGTGTAAACTTCTCAAGCTTTTGTCAAGGTCAGACTTGGACCACTTCAGACCCGTCCTGGCTTACTAAATATGGTATATCCTCGACTTAAACAATCCTTTTGTGTACCACGCCGCGGTCAATCCGTATCAAGACACAAGGAAGGCCGCTGTGACCCCAGCCGGAAGGCAGGAAAGGCCCCGCAGTGCGAAAAAGATAGGTACAAAAAGCTGTCGCGGAGGATAGATTGCAGTTCAAACGTGAAGGTATGGCTCTATGTCTAGCTCAATCATCTTTGCACGATAACTCCGTCTAAAGACCCAGGTAAGGAACCATGCATGCATGCCCGCGTATGTGTTAAAGTGCACTAGTAGCGGTGGACGACATGCTTCTCTGGCGAAATATTCATAAAGGTACAAGCTTATAAACGTCCTTCATTAAAAAAAAT